TCTTCTTTTCTTAACCCCAGGGATTAAGAATGGGAAAGAAGGAGCAGTTTTCTCCAGGTCCTGTTTGTTTGCAATTTCTACCTTTCTAGGTTTGCTTAGCTGTTAAAGCGCCTCTCCTGGGGCTCCATAAAACTGGCTTTTTAGCCTCAGTAACACTGCACATCTTGAAATCCCTTTTCCCCTCACTCCGTAGAACTAGGCACCTAGCTGTCTCACTGTGTGCGAATCTCTTCTGGATGAGCAGAATGAGCCTAAACGGTGAAATGACTTTCTTGAAACCACACCACTGGAAAGTGGCTGAACCTCAGCAACAAGATACAGGACCTTTACTTTCTGAGTTTCTCTGATCCTTCCCTGAAAGAAAGGAGTAATAAAATGCCGTCTGTTGACACTGACTTTGTAATTAGGAAATTTATTCAAGGTTTTTTTTTTTTACTGAACACTTAAAGAGGCTTTTAGTGTTGTTGAAATGGCTTTATCGTCACCGCGTGCTTTGCCTTCCTACTTCCCACTTTGCTGCAGCGTCCCCCTATTCTCTCTGCCCCACCCGTACTGGACGCGGAGAACGGGACTGCCTGACCGGCTGTTGCCAGTAATTAGGGTTCGAGATGACCGCTGGACCTGTGATCATCATACACTGATTGGTTACCAAGGGGTTGCTGTGCATTTATTTTGGGAATACTGTGTATGGAGGAAAAGCAGAAAGACTAATTTTTTTTTTTTTTGCTTGCTTGTTCTATGAGGAATCTTTTTATCTTCTTTCTCTTTTCATTCAGAATCGAAACAGTGGGAAAGTTTGACATCTGAATGCAGAGTGCTCCTGATCGAGTCTTTAGCAACTATGGAGACAGACAGCAGACCTGAGCTACAGGAGAAAGCGTCGTTACTGAAGAAAACACTTGAAAATCTGGAATAAATTAGAAGGGGAAGAAACAAACAAGTGCCATGTTTATTGGGGTTGAAACGGTGGTGTTCTTTGGAAAACCAAGGGGGAAAAGTAAAGATTAATCTGTAGCATGCATCATTCCTTGGCTGATATAATAAAAAAAAATGCCTTAAATTTTCGTTCCTTATTAGCTTTATTTTATCTGATGTTTTTAAATTATGTGGGCTGAGTGAGCTTAGTGGAACATGGATGTCTGAGAGGTGGTTGTAAGTAAAACTGATGGAAGTAGGTACTAGACGATTAAAGCTGTTATTAAAGGAATAGACAGAGTCGCAGAGCAATAGGATCCACACTCTTAGAACTGCATCCAAATTAAATGACGGTATTTCAGGAAGGGAGTCTGTGAATCACTTCGTTTAACCCCCTTGTACGTTAACCCCCTTCTACACCTGAGGAAGCACGCTATATGATGACGTAGCTTCTTTTTCTGAGGCCCGTGCGAAGGCCAGGGTCCAGGTGTTGGGTGACTGGCCCAGGAAATTTCCCTTTACCCCCTGCTGCCGACGAGCTCTCGCCAGGCCCACCCGAGAAACTCCCACAGTGGGTGCGCACAGCAGGCCTTGAACCGGAACTGGACTGGCATCATCACTGGATTCTTGAAATTCAGAAGCTGAACGTTGTTTTGTCATTTGTGTAGGTGATTGGTTTTTAGGAAGTAACTGTTTAGCATCTTTCTTTACAAGTCGTGGGGAGAATTCAGTCTCTGTGGGCTCATTCTGATCGCCCTTTCACGGGCAGACACAGGTAGGTCAGGGCCGGAGTGCCCCTTCTGTCCGTCTGCGGTTGCTTAGTTTGCAAAACCCCAACCGACAATGAAATCGTGTTTTGATTTAGACCGCTCATTCATATTCTCAAAACCAGAGAGACAACTTACAATTTTATACCCACTTTTATATTAATAGTATGGTTTTAGGATAGAAAGGAAAGCATTTTAGTGCACCACCTGGGAAAAACATGATACCACTCAAGTAAATAATTACAGGTAGGGTTTCTTCCTTTCCTTAAACTGTTTATACCCCTGCCTAAGAATACAGGGTAAGGAGAAAAACAAGTTTGACTAAGTCAGTGTTTAAGGTAAATGAGAACATTGTAGCTTACCTTGGATTCCAGGCACAAAATTGGTTTACACTCACTACTGACCCCTCTCCGACATCACCACCAGGTGGAAAACTTCATGGCCAGTATTTTTGGGGGTCTCTGTGGAGCAATGTATTTCAAACTTCCTTGACTGTGACTCATAGTAAAAATAATTGTTCACACTTGACCCAGAACAGTGAGTGTGTGTGAGAGAGACAATGAAAATGAATATACAATCATTAACTGAAATAAACGTTTTCTGAAATAGTTCAGACTCCTCCTGTGTGCGGTATGCTCGGACCCTCCCACACCCCTGCTATTTCCACTGCTCACTGGATTCCTCTCCCAGCTCACTCGGGGGTTGCTGTTCTCGGTTTGAAAACACCGCCGTGGTCGTGCCTGGTCTCGGCTGGCTGTGCCGCATCTGGGGTCGCTTCTCACTGGGGAAAGGGTTCAAAAATGAATCCTTTAAGTGTTTATTACTGAAACATCCTCTTAGCTCATGCTAAATAGTCATTGTTTTCGCAGTATCATGAGTGGTAAGGAACCTGTCATGGACTTCTGCTTGAGAACGGCTTCTGCTGGAGGAAAAAAACCCACTTTGGGTGTTCAGCGGAAAGCTTACAGCCTCACAGAGTGTTCCCGGTCAGTGCTCCCCGTCCCACGAAGCGTCCTCGGACTCTCGTTTTCGGTGCCTGGGGCGCTCTTCCCAGGCCAGAGCCCAGGGCAGGCCAGGTATTGCCAGAAACTACGTGTAAGGGCAAGAGTTGTGCTCTTGGCCCATGTGAAATGCTCAGGCCTCAGCAAATTTTATGCTTTTTAAACTTTGTTATTTAACATTGGAAATTTCCCATGGTGCTGAGAGGTGCTAAGATACTTGAACCTTAGTGCTTAGTGCTAGTGAATTAATTTCTTGGAGCTGTCTAAGCACATTTCTAGTTTATACACTTAATGCCTTCATCTCGACCAGCCTAGTCATTTGCACAACGAGTAATGCTGCACCCTGGTCTCCCGGTGCGGCCTGTCTGTGTGCGTGTGTGCACATTTATTCAAAAGGGTTAAAGCAGAGTTGTGATTGTGGGGAGTCGATACTGGTGAGCAAGTGGAAGAAGATGGTGAATGTTTCTGTCTTCTGCCTTCGTTGTCCAACGCTATCTGACACAGATCCTTATGATTCCCCCCTCTAGGAACATTCAGTGCTACTTGTAAAAGCAGCTGGTTGAGAGTTTAATTGCTAAATTCCTTATTCCTGGAGTCTGTACACTAGAGATGGCTTCATAAATTTATTGATACGTGGAAAGGAGGTACCTGAGGTTTAACAGTTGGTCAAAGCAAAGCAGTGTAAAGTCTTTTTGGTGATCAAAAGCAGTTTCTTTAATGTTTGCGTCCAATTGATCATTGCCAGCATGCCTGCCTGTGATACACATGCACCGATACACATTTATTTAAAAGGGTTAAGTAACCCTTTTAAAGGGTGCACAGTGAAACCTGACTGACACCAAGTCCCCACTGCTTCCCCTTCTGTCTTTCACTTGTGTGTTTACTGAGAAGAAAAAGAAACCAGATGTGACTGTTGGTCTGTGCTCTAGCGGCAAGTGCACTGTGTGAACTCTGCCCACTGGGGTGTTTCTGCTGGCCGCTGCCGCGATGCAGTCACGCAGCCCCTTAAGTCCAGGGAGTTCTCTGACACTCGTTGTAATGTACAAACTGTTGTTAATGGATGTATATGTAACAGAGTTTTGTATTTTATATGCAAAGCCTTCATAGAATCCTCTGCAATATGTACTCAGCTAGTGAAGCATGTGACAGTCTTACTTGAAAGGCAAATCTAAGAAGACATGAAGTCGTAAATAAAGGTTGCATGACCAGTTCTTCTGAAGTAGTGCATTAATTCGTACTGATTTTCCAGAAAAACAGTTTTGCTTCTGAGGCACTGACTGGTACTTACACTTTAAAAAACGGAAAAAGGCCCAGTAGCTTGCCACAGGCCCAGCCATCTCTGCTTGCTCACCGCGGATTCCAGGGTGCGTTTGGGGCCTCTCTGAGTCCTCTGGGGAGGAGCCTCCGTGGGCTCTCTGCCTTCATCCCATCGTGAAATGTGTACGACCTGAGGGCTTGTAGGTGTTCTTGTTATGTGGAACTCCTAATACTAGACTCTAGATTCCCTGATAAAATAACTTTCTCTCTGAAGCAAATGCTAGGGCATATTTAATCACAGAATGTATCCAGCCTTTTAATTAATGTTACTGAGCCTTTTAATTCTAAAAAAAAAAAAAAATCAGCCTATTCATTCTGACCCCAGGTCACGCTAACTCCTGCCTAAAGGAAAAAAAAAATCTGTAATCCAAAAATCCTTGTCAAGCTCATACTACACATCTTCAACTAACATCACTCTTAAACAGTCTGGATTCCTGAACCAGACATCCGTGGGATATAAGAAAACAGCTCTTGTTTTAAGGCACTAAGTTCTGGTTCCTTTGTTATGCAGCACTAGGAAGCTGATGTTCCTCACAGGAGGAGAATTTTCATGCCGTGCTGGAAGATCGTGCAGCACTGTCTACTGAAGGTGACAGAGGTTCTATCACCGTTTTTACTCCTGAGTATACACTCCAGGGTAATGTGCACTTATGTGTACCAAAAGAAATACATGTGCAGGTCTATAACATTAGTTGAAACAGCCCAAAAATGGAGACAATTCAGATGTCTCAATGGAACAGTGGGGAAAGTGTTTACCATAATGGAGACCATCATACAGCAATAAAAAATGGACAAACCGCAGTCACACACATCAGCATGGATCTCGTGAGCGCCCTGTGGAGGGAAGGAACCCAAACACTGCAGTGCACGTTTTATGGTGGCACGAAGTCAGCTGATGTTCTATGTGCACTTGACAAAGCATGCTCTTGTGTGCGGCTGGCCGGGCTGTTCTATGGATGGTGTTAAGTCTAGTTGATTTATGGTGGTGTTTCAGCCTTCTCTATATATCCTTGTGGGTAACACTGTAGTCCTACCAATAATTGAGAGCATGAACGTCTTCAGCTATTATTGTTGAATTGTCTATCTCTCCCTCTAATTCTGTCAGTTTCTGTTTCCAGTATTTCGGGGGTGTGTGTTTTAGGTCATATATTCATAGTTGTTATGTCTTCTTGATGGAGTGACCCTTTTATCATTAAGTATGGGCCATGCTTTCCTGTTTCTTTGCATGTCTCATAATTTTTTGTTGAAAAGTGGACATTTCGTATTTGGCAACTCTGGAAATCATACTCCCCCTTCATTTCAGAGTTTGTTGTTGCTCTTTTCTTTTTCAGCGACTTCCTGCACTAATTCTGTAAACTCTCAGTTTTTTATTGTACGTGACCACTGAAGTCTCTGCTCAGTTAGCCACGTGGTCAGCTCGTGATTTCACAGATTGCCTTCAATGCCTCGTACCCACAAGTTTTCCATTCTGGTAGCTACTTCTGTAACCTCGATTACCCAAAGCTCCATTATGTTGTGTTTATATGATTTTAAATGAATTTTGGGGAGTAATAGTGGTGTAGAGAACAGCTAAGACCAGCCAACAATCTAAAATTCAATGAGATGTTACTATTTTGTGGCTCCTTAGCCTTTCCTGCTACTAGGTATTTCTCATTGACTAGTTTCTTCTAGTATTCTTCCACATTCTTCTAGTCCTTAAAATTTGTGGGCTTTTTGCCTCTCTTCCTAACACCTGCTTCAGTCTTCTCTCAGTGTTTCAAACCCTTATATATTTAAAAAATTTTATTTATTTATTTTTAGAGAGGGGAAGGGAGAGAGAAAGAGAGGGAGAGAAACAGCATTGTGCAAGAGATACATCGCTTGGTTGCCTCTCACATGCCCCCAACTGGGGACCTGGCCTGTAACCCAGGCATGTGCCCTGACTGGGAATTGAACCAGCAACCGTTTGCTTTGCAGTCCAGCACTCAATCCACTGATCCACATGGGCTGGTTATTTTGTGCAATATTCCTCAACGTAATTTTGCCTGGTTTTCCCTGATGATCAGATTCAGGTTGTATTTTTGATAGAACACCACAGAAGTGATATCACGTCTTCAGTGCTTTATATCGGAAGGCATGTGGAGTCAGTTTATGCCGTTCTTGGTGATGTTGCTGTGGTTGTCCTCCAGGTCTTCCTGCTCATTGTCTGGTTTTGGAAATTGGTAAGTCGTTTGTGGTGAGATACTTTGAGAGAATGTAAATATCCTGTTTCTCATCCAGCTTTTTTACCTGTGACAACTGTAATGCTTTTATTACTTACTATAACACTTTCCCTATGATAATCTATTACTACAACAACCTTTAACCTTGGTTAATTTTTAACTACATCATTCTTCTATATTTACTTTTTGGCACCTTACTATAAGGAAGAACCAACTTTCCTTCCTCCCGTTCTCCCTTCCTCCCAAGAACTCATGCATTCTTATTTTATTCTATGGATTGTAATCCATTTTTACCATTATTTATTTTGATGGTCAAAATAGTCCCAGATTTGGCCAATGGGAGCTTCACCAAGGGGGCATCTGTGGTCGTTTGAAATCTCCCTGTCGTTCTTTGCCTGTTTCCTTGCATTCCAGTGTGGTACGGCACTCCGAGTTGATCTCGTCCTTTTCCGCCTCCAGCTTTTTGGTGTCCGCCATCTCCTGAAGGAGCATCGTTTTCTTGTGGTTGAGAATTGTATTTAGAAATCAGTATCTGGGTGCTAGGTGTGCCCATTGCTCCTGAGTGTTCATTGCTTTAAGGTCCTCTCGACAGATGCATACTGAATGAAATTTCTGATCATTTGTTTGTTTAAAGAGTAAACTTTCATTGGTTGTGGTTTTAAAAATAAATGTTCTCCCCTTAATGTCTGAAAACTAGGGAATAGTTTAATATATATATATATATATATATATATATATATATATATATATATATACACACACACACACACACACACACACACACACACACATATACATATATACATATATATATATCTTAGAATTCTATGGCTATCTTTTCTTCTATATACTGTTCAGTCTTCTACACTGTAATCACTCAAGGAAAAATCTTGATATAGCTAGGGTGGGCAGTGTGGAATAGAAGACTTGGTTTTTATGAGTTTTTTTGAAATTATTTTGGGGTAACTATGGTTCACTCTCTGTCTCAACTTTTAAAAGTTTGCTATAATTGGATCTTTGGGACATTATCCCTGAAGGATCTGAAGTTTCAAACCTCTGTAATATATAGCTGCTGAACTTTTAAATTGTTCAGGGACGATGGGTATTCCCCCAAACGACAGAGGATTTAAATTTATGTGGTATTTCTGTTGCTGTCCTTTGTGTTTTTAGTTGTGGAGGTAACAAGCAATACTTTGGGAAGAAATGAATTGCGCTGCTGATTTTTCTGTAATATGTTTAACATTTTTAACGTGGATGAATTTATTCTTTCTTGCACTTAGCTAACTTGATCAAGTACATCATAAAACAGTGTTTGGAGTTGGTGACAGAGAATTCAGGTGAGAGGACCAGTTTTTCTTGGCTACTATTTGTAAACAATAGAAAATACCAAGTCCCAGGCAACAGGGCTGATTTTTCATTCTTTTTTTTTAAGTGTTTTCTTCGCTAATCATTAGCACAAAAATTTTGATTTTTGTTAAAGTAGTTTCTTACATTATCATCAGATTTTGGTAGAGAATTGGTTAAATATAAAATTTGGCAGAGAAATCCCTAAGAAGTAATTTAACATGAATAAGCACTAACTACTGTGAAGTAGGAAGAATGGAGCTCTTAGGAGGAAAATTGCCTGTCCAAGTACCACGGAGGGAAGCAGTAATGACGGGCGTTCCCTGAAATACTGAATCAGGTGTTCAGTGTTACTGATGATGTTTGGACCTACACTGTCAACTGCTTGGGGACAGATGACTAAAACAAACAAAAAAAATGAAAGGGTTTGCTAGTAGGCTAGATAAGATACAGTGGAGGAGAAGTCAAAGGTGATTATGTAATATAATGAAAACTATTTGAAAACTATTATGTCCCTTTACTTTATAGGGGCATGATATAGGATGCCCCCTGCCACATTAAGATTTCTACCATCACCATCTGCGCTGCCTTGAAAAGATGGAGACACGGGAGACAAATGATAATGTTGGTTGAAACTGAGAAACTGGGAAAGAAGGTCCGTGATGAGAAAGGGAAGACTGAAGTGTTCAGATAAACCATGTAATTGAGGAATTTGTCTACGAAAGAAAGAGCAAACCTAAGATGGCAGTTTGCATATGGAGCATGGCAGTGAAGGGAATTTTAAGAATATTTGAAACTAGAGCAGAAAGAACTAGTGGGGACAGGAGAAAGATTGAAGGCGATAACCAGTAATGTCAGTGCAGAAGCAAGGAAAGTTTTAGTAATTATTTTTTTCTTATAGTGTGAAATATAAAAAAATAAAACCTTAAGTGACTCGTGTATAATTAGATGATCTTTAATTTTCTTTTCCAAGAGGTTTTAAGATAACTTAAACAGAATTTAATTTCTACATTTCCTGGGTCTTCGTGAATTATAATGTATACTAAGAGTTTTGCCTGGGCAGAATTTTTACCCCTATTCACACTCTCATAAAAGCATGGATGTCAATAAAGAATAAAGCTGTACAGTGGATGTATCCGTGTTTAAAGGAGGTGGGTTATTCTGTGTGGCTTGTAAACTGGCTCTTAAACATAATCAAAAGGGGTAGGTACCTCCAATGCTGCAAACAGTGTCGTCATGTTTTTGAGCAAATCTGTAGACCTCTGAGCTGTTAGTTGGAAAGGATAGTTAATTTAGACCCAGAACTTCATAGCTGTTGGCTTAAAATTCATGTATTTGTTTCTTTCAACGTTCCTCCTCTTCTTCCAGTGAAGATCATTACAGGCTCTTGTTGTAGCAGCGTGCTTTCTTTCCCTCACTTACCTGCCTTGCTTTTCTAATGCGTGCTCAGTAATTTATTCAATGTTCACTCATATTCTCGTCATCTGGTACTTCAGAATCTTTACTGAAAACCTACTGTGTGTTCAGCATAGGATTATGAGCTGAGATTAAATGTTGAATGTTTATCTTGTTTTCAATATCGTTCTTTTCTAAATTTTGTCATGGAAGAATCAATTTTTTTATGTAGGTCATATTGTTCTTCTCTTAGAACAAGAGAGACACTATCCTGTAATATTTTGGGGGTAAAATTGTGGTTGTAATAGTGAAAATAAGTTTGCAGGTGTTTTCCTAACTAAAGGAGCATTACACTTTACCCACCTCTTTGATGTTCTCACATGTGATGAAGAGAATGAGCCTAGCGTGATTACTGGTGAAAGAAAGAAAATGCAAGGAGAAAACCTCACCATCTGGAGCTTTTTTTCCTTGAAGGGTTTTTCTAGATACCCAAAGTTAGAGGTGGTCCTCTTCAACTTCAGCCTTGTAATGTATCTGATCACCCTCTTGGGCAACAGCACTCTCATTTTAATCACTATTCTAGATTCACGCCTTCAAACCCCCATGTACTTTTTCCTCAGAAATCTCTCTTTCATGGATATCTGTTACACGTCTGCCTTTATTCCCACTTTGCTGGTGAACTTGCTCTCATCCCAGAAAACCATCATTTTTTCCGGGTGTGCTGTGCAGATGTACCTGTCCCTTGCCATGGGCTCCACGGAGTGTGTGCTCCTGGCTGTGATGGCGTATGACCGTTACGTGGCCATTTGCAACCCGCTGAGATACCCCGTCATCATGAACAGGCAGGTCTGTGTGCAGATGGCCACCGTCTCCTGGGTGACAGGCTGTCTGACCGCCCTGCTGGAAACCAGCCTTGCTCTGCGGCTCCCCCTCTGTGGGAATCTCATCGACCACTTCGCGTGTGAAATCCTGGCAGTGCTGAAGTTAGCCTGCGCAAGTTCACTGCTCATGGACGTGACCCTGCTGGTCGTCAGTGTGCTCCTCCTGCCCATTCCGATGCTCTTTATTTGCATCTCTTACGTCTTCATCCTGTCCACTATCCTGAGAATCAGCTCGGCAGAGGGAAGAAGCAAAGCTTTTTCTACCTGTGGTGCCCACTTGACTGTGGTGGTCTTGTATTTCGGGGCTGCCCTCTCCATGTACCTGAAGCCGCCTTTGTCGACCTCCCAGGAAATAGATAAAGTCATCTCTTTGCTTTATGGTGTGCTTACCCCTATGTTGAACCCCATAATTTACAGTTTAAGAAACATGGAAGTCAAAGATGCTATTAGAAAACTGCTGGGCAAAGTCTCATTGCATCAAACACGTGAAAGTCTCTGACCGGGTGCCTGGGGTGTACAAGGGTGCGCCCCTGGCAGAACCCACCAGGGAAATTCAAGACGATGTACTCACCCTTAACTCAGTGGCTGGAACCTTTGCTCTGTAATTTCACAGTTGCGAGATAGGAGGGGGATCCACACAACTCAGAATTAGTCTATAAAACATTCTGCATTGTTCTTACATGTTTAAACTTCAGTCACCTTCAAAGTACTCTCCACTTGATGCAATACACCTATTGAGACCTTTTTTCCGCTGCTCAAAACGGTGTTTGAACTTGGTGATTTTGCTGCCTTTTAGTGCTTTTGCCATTTATTTGTTTCGCCTCTTCCACATTGGCAAAATGTTTCCCTTTGAGGGCTTTTTTTCATCCAGGAAACCACAAAAAAATGTTGTTTGGGGAAAGAGCAGATGAATAGGGAGGGTGGGACATGGGGGTCCTGCTGTTTTTGGTTAAAAACTATGGAACACTCAGGGTGGTATGTGTGGGCAGGTGTACTCACAGATCACCCATCATGAAATGGGCAAATAAATGCATTGAAAGAGTCTTCAAAAAAAAATTCACTGAAGCTGAACACAGCCTCTCACAACAACGCCGGCCAGTACACTGATGCAGATGGGTTCCTAGAACACTCACATAGTAGGGGAAGCCTTCACTGTAAGTGGCCTGCCCTTCAGCAGGTAATTCCAGATATTTGCTACCCGCCCCCCACCCCCCGTGTGTACACAGAGTAACTGCCTATGGGCAATAGTAGATTCCAGTTTGCACTTAGTATTATTTTCTGTATTTGTGTTTCATCGTTGTGGGAAGTTCTGGGCTATAGAGTCATCACACATTCGTTCCAGAAGGAAAGTTGGGTAAGTTTCGAGTCAGTGAATGTTAGCGCCAGAAGAAACTTGGACATCTTCTCTGCCTTAAATCCAGAAACAAAGAACAGATTATGCCGGCGAGAAGACAGAACCAAGGAGAAATGAGAAGACTTGCTCACTCACTGTCACGTCGCTGCCAAACCGGAACCGCAGCCCTGGCCTTCCGCCGTCCGCTCCAGGGCTCACCCCGCCGCGCCGCGGGGAACCCCCAGCTGCCCTTCCTTTCTCTAAACTCCTGATCAGAACTCCCCGACTTCCTGAGGAAGGCATGCAATGCCCGCTTGATTTGCTCACCTGAACCTTGCCTGTCTATGCACATTAGATATTTGAGCAAATCGTGTCTGTTTCTATGCCGGTGTACCACCCATACGCTAATGAAGGTTTCTTCGTGTGTGTGTGTGTGTGTGTGTGTGTGTTTGTTTCATTGAATGACTGACTTCACAAGGGCCAGGATTCCTATAATTTTGTACCTTTTATGTTTATAACAGCATTTCAATAAAGTCATCAATGCATCATCTTTAAACTGATTATTACGTAATTAGGATGTAAGTGCCACTTGTGAAAATGAAGAAGAAACAACATAAGCCATGAGGTATATTGCTTTATAAATAGCTGACAATTACAGAGACAATTCACATTTGTGGTTTTTAATATTTTACTTGTATAAGAATGCTGCTTGTTTAAAATGCAGAGCGGGGCCTTGACTGGTGTGGCTCAGTGGGTTGGACGTCCTCCCACAAACCGAAAAAAAGGGTCACCAGTTTGATTTCCCATCAAAGCACGTGCCTGGGTTGCGGGCCAGGTCCCCAGCGTGGGGCACATGAAAGGCAACCACACAGTGATGTTTCTCTCCCTCTCTCTCTCCCTCCCTTCCCCTCTCTCTAGAAAGAAATAAATAAAATCTTAAAAATAAATAAAATGCCCTGGCTGGTGTAGCTCAGTGGATTGAGCGCAGGCTGTGAACCAAAGTGTCGCAGGTTCAATTCCCAGTCAGGGCACATGCCTGGGTTGCAGGCCATGGCCCCCAGCAACCACACATTGCTGTTTCTCTCTTTCTCCCTCCCTTCCCTCTCTAAAAATAAATAAATAAATAAAACACAGAGTGGGGCCTCTGTTCCCACACTCGCTGACCCAGTGGCCCTGGGGTGGGGCCCTATCGCCGCATTTATAACAGAGCCCCGAGAAATTCCGAGAAAGGCTGTGAGATGGCCATTCTTCGGGAGACGTTCGTTTCCAGTGAAACTCTGATCCCAAAAGAGAAGTGGGATTTGTTTTTCTTTCTTTTTTCCTTTTAATTTTAGTTGTTCTTCCATTCTTTCTTCCTCCACGTGCACAGTCTCACTTGCCTCTCTACTTTTAGAATGGAAAAGGGGAGAGGGTTTAGAGGGGAGGGGGTGGTTAACCTATTTGACACATTTCAAAATATGGAAGACCTAAGAAGGTTTAGCATTGAACTCTGGGCTATTTACCTCTCAGACCATTCCCTTAGGTCTTGGGCTCCCATGATGTGTTCCTGGTTGTGTAAGCTACATTTAAGAGGCTTGCAATAACCACACAGCCCCGTTCTGGTGACAGAGCGAGGGGACACGTTTGATGCCAGATGCAGCTGCCAAGAGCTGTTTGATAGTGGGGGGCGGAAACAAGCCGTGAGCCCTGACGGGTGTGGCTCAGTTGGTTGAGCATCGTCCTGCAAAGTTGAAAGGTCGAGGGTTAGATTACCAGCCAGGGCACATGCCTGGGTTGTGTTTTGGTCCCCTGTTGGGGCATGTGCCAGAGGCAGCCAATCAATGTTTCTCTCCCTCTTTTTCTCCCTCCCTTCCCCTCTCTCTAAAATTAAGTAAATAAAATCTTTAAAAAAGAAAGAAAGATAAAAGCCCTGAGTTTTGGGGTAGCAGGGGGGAGCTGATCAGGAAGCTTTCATAGCAGCTAGAAGTAATTCTTTTTCTGCTTAGATCCCTCAACCATTGCAACCCAAATACCACATTCATTTCCTGACAATTTCAGAGTCATTTGCAAGTGATATTTTATAGTAGGCTTTCATTAGAACAGAACTAATTATGGGCCTCCTGGACTTAGCTATAATATGGGCGGTACCAAATCTAAACAGAAATAACCAGTGTTATGGATGTGACTGAAATCTTTACTTCAAAGAATGAACTAGGACAACCTGAAGGGCCTGAACGCACTCTGTAGTTATCACCTCAGTATTGACACAAGGAACTGAGCAGATCGTCAGAATGGGATGGGGACCAGAATGGGCCACTGAGAGAGGTTAGAAATGACCCGGTGGTCAAAGACCCAAGGTGGCATCTGAGCAGATACCTCTCTAGCGCAGAATAGGAGTTACAGTAGTCACAGTGTTTCTGTCACATAGAGTTGCTGTGAAGAAGAGCAAGCACATAGAAATATCAACGTGTTTTAGACAAAGAACATGGACCCACGGACACAGATAAAGTGGGGGAACTGACGGTGGGAGTGGGGGTGGGATGGGAAAGGAGGGCAAAGGGGGGGAAATTGGGACAACTTAATAGAATTACAATAAAATGATTTAATTAAAAATGTGTTTTATATACTATAGGCAATACTAAAGTTAGTTATTTGTAAATGGTATATTCTTCCATTTGGATTAGCCTGCCTCTCAGCCAGTACTAATTACAATCATTACTTTCATAGTCTCAGGTAAGGGATGCTTTCCACGTATTGTTAAAAAGAAGAATGTATGTGGCAGAGAAGATTCCTGCATAAATGATAACATGACCAGATTTCAGCTTTTGGAAATTCTGATCCTGTCGTTTCCCTGCTTAACATCCCTCGGGGCCTTTTTATTACCCTAAAGCCCAAGTCCTTAAGATAACGTGCAAGGACTTTCTTTTTTTTTTTTAATTTTATTTATTTATTTATTTATTTATTTATTTAGAGAGGGAAGGGAGGGAGAAAGAGAGAGAGAGAGAGAGAAACATCAATGTGCGGTTGCTAGGGGTCATGACCTGCAACCCAGGCATGTGCCCTGACTGGGAATCGAACCTGCGACATTTTGGTTCACAGCCCGCACTCATTCCACTGAGCTACGCCAGCCAGGGTGGACTTTCATAATCTTATTCCTCACTATTTACCTTTTTCACTCTAGGAACACAAAACTTATTTTAGTTCCATAATAACGATGTGCTCTGTCTTGCCGGTTCCTTTATTAAGAACATATATCACAATTTGCAATTTGATAGCGACTTTTGAGGGTTTACTTGTTTAATGTCTCTCACTAGTTTGTGGGTTCATTGCCGCAAGGATTGTATCAATTTTATTCACTGCTATCGACCGCTGCTATCGACCCATAGCTTAGCTTGAGGTCTGCCACAGAGAGGACACCTGGTGCATGCTTTGCAAAGGCCTACGTGCTCACCGACCATCTGCCAAATAAAAACATGCAAGTAATAAGCCTTTGAGGGCTGTTCAGTTAGGTCCTTAACCATCCCAGTAGTGAGAGAGATGAAGATGTCAAAGGGGATTTCTAGGTGCCGAGGAAGGCTGGCAGTGTCATTAACTGGCACAGGGGCACTTGAAAAGGACCGACTCTGGGAGTTGAAGGGGGAATCGTGAGTTGTGTTTTAGACACAACTATTGAAATTATCATGATTTTGAGATAGGTAGAGATAATTAGGAATCAGTTGGACATGCTAGTTTGGAACTGATCAGAAAGGTCAGCCTGGAGATATAAACTTATGACACAGTTGCATATATCTAATAATTTAAGTAATGAACATGGCTGACATTAATGAAGGAGAGAGTATGGAGTGAGCAAGTTGCCTAAGACGAAACTAGAGGAACACTAATATTTAAATCCATAAAACAGGAAAAGCCAACAAAGGGGTGTTGAAAAGAAGCAACCCCCCAAGTAAGGAGAGAGCGACAGTTCGGGGACAGATTCCAGCTGCCGTCCAGATGCGGCAAGCACACCACTCGGTTTCTCCCATTGAGTGCAATGAAAAAGTCTAGACAGAACGCAAAGAGAAGCTATCTGATTCTGAAAAATAAAGGGTAGCAGGGAGACCTGGGAAGGAAACTAGAACACAAGGCATGAACAAACTCTTGGTGAATTTTCTGGTTCCCCCCCCCCGCCCCCGCCCTCCAATATCTCT